GTACGAATCTTAGATCTTAGTGAAATCTTAGTGGCAGAAAAATGGATTAGGCCATTATTTTCATTCATGTAAACCTATTTTAAAATCATAATAAAAAGAACATATGTTGCACTACATTGTTTTCTTTCTAAACTAATTGTAGTTGACTTTCGCGAGTGCGATTTCTCAAATTAAACAAATCACCGTCAATCACCATTATTTTATATAATGACAAGCAAGAATGTATTTAGCGAAATTGTTCATTATTTTCATATAAATATTATTTTTAGAACTTTTTTTTGCAATTTAGATGAATTTACTCATCGACGTTTAATTCCATCGTATTAAAAATACTCTGAGAATAAAAATATTGTCGAAAGTAGCAGAATATAGCAAAATTAACCGTGTTTCTAACTTATTGGAAACACCAAAAACCTAAATAATTTTTCCCGAAGCGTTTTGGAAATTATTTTGGCAACCTTAAAAATAAAATAAAGTTTTATAATATGTGATAAAATTCGGCAATTTTATCGTGATATATCAGAGCCTGGCACAAAAACAGTTTATTCGGTTAAATTTACTTCATTTTGTATTTTTTACTAAATGTGCTGAAAACCATAATTTCCAGTAAGCCGCTTCCATATGAATGGAAAAATTACCAAATCAATGGTTTAAATACCGTTTTATTAATCATAATTATGTTTTTTCTTATTTTACGAAAATGTCATTACCACACAGTACAGTTATTTTACTCGAATTGTTTTCTTCATGTGATCATTCCACTCCACGTGAGGGACAATCAGACTTCATAATTTGTTTTGCATCAAACGGATTTAATAATTTCATAAATAATAAAAAAACTCGCGTTTGATACAAACATATTTCGTGTAAGGAAAGAACTTTATTTTTGTTTACTAAAATATAAGCAGTAATTTCTACGAGTCCCGTGTCGGACTTGTTAATTTTCATATCTCCCATTAGAAATTGATCCGTAATTGTCCAATATCAAATCAGTTTCCAATAGGAGATATGAAATTTAACAGTTTATTCCCTAGAAATTCAAACCAATATGGCTGATATTAATATGAATCGTTAAACGCTGGTGACCAATCCAACAAAAGATTCTATTTTCGCGAAGATCAAGAGAAGCGGTACGGATGAGCACTAAAAAGGGTGGAACAACTGTTCTTGACAAATAGCACTTCGGAAAACAGAATATGTGTTACCTTATGGCTAGTTCAACGACAACAGATCCGGTTTTAATGAGAAAGTCGAGTTTTGTGGAATAGAAACGGGACTTGTTTAGGTATAGGAATATTTTGGTGCGATATACATAGTTTATTCTTAAGCACGAATCATATTAAAAGTTAAATGACGAAAACTATCATTGTAATTAATATTTATTCACATTTTAAAAAAAATGAGTTCTTAAATAATACGAAACTTAACTCGCTTTTGATGAATCTGTTTTTTTAAATAAGCTCCGAGCGAATTTTTTGTTGAAGTGACAAAATAACTGCAGCCATTTCTTCGTGGAAACGAATTTCGTCAAAATTAAAGAAATATTTCGTCATTCTATTTTTTATAAATAATAATAAAAAAAACAAATAAATAAAATATCTAGTAGTGCCTACAGAATCTACTTTTCCTAATTATTTCCTATTCATTTTATCATGGACACCATACAGGTAGATGAATGTCGCCCTAATATTAGATGAACAAATAGAACAGAGATAAACTGCAAGAATGGGATTCGATCCCGGTATCTCTTGGTACAAGCCCAGCGTCTTGACCACCATACAGTCAGTCGGCTTACTTCATTATATATCTTCCACAGTCCAGATTTCATTCTAGTTAACAATCTGCGACAAAACACTACTACGAGGTTTTGAGTAGAGCAAAACTTTTCTTGATATATTTGAGAGTTCGCGTTTCGTCACAAATCACGTAATTTCCCAAGGAAATAATTCTCAAAGAACGAAATATTATTCAAAGATTGCTGAATCGTCAAAAGTGTGGCTTTTATTTCTGAGAGTGCATGAGTCGTTTTTGGCGAAATCATTATAAAAAAGTTTGAGGTATTTATTAAAAAATGTTAGTACGAACAGTGCGTAATCTAAAACACGCAATACCTTAATAGCTTTTGATCTTAATAATCCGATTGCTACAGAAAAAGTTTTTCTACATGCTAACTATTTAGAGAAGACGATATTTAATTTGCGAAATCAAACACATAAACGAACTTAGTTTTAAGATCCTCAAAATGGGGGGAGTAGCTGCAAATTGGGAAATATGGCAACAATAGTTCAGTCAGGAGAGCAGTCGAAAGCTTGGACCTCTTACACACTATAACACTGTTAGAATTTTCAATGTGAAATTACGGTAAAATAACCGGCATTAGTTATAGTTTGGAATAATTCTTTATCTTTACAGTTTTGAAACCGTTTACAATTGGTACGGTTAAAAAACGGTGAATACAAAATTATGTAACCCTTTACAATTAGCATTACATAGTTTCTAAACCATAAAAAAAAACTTAAATGGTTACTGAAGCTCTGTGGGAGCAGAACCATTTATGCGAGAATGATAGTTTCGAATTTAATAGCCTAGGGTCACCGATTGAAGAGTGTAAGACGCTAGAAATTTTTTTTTGTATTGAAGAAATGGAAGAAATATTATGGTATCAAGACTGGTATTTAAACCCCTGTTCAGCTGATTATGAGATTGACCGTTTACAACATGCATCCGACAGGACGAAACTAAATGGCTTCATAAGGTGGTGCGGATAGAATTCTGTTTTTTTAAACGTATTAGATAAAACCAATTGGTAAACGTTTTTCTCACACTTAACGGTTTGAATGTTATCTTTTCTTATGGTTATTTGACTGTTTTGGTTGAATATGGTAAAGTAACAATTAAATAAATTTCTATTTAACCATTTTTACGTAGAAACAATGCGGGAAATTCCTAACGGCGGAAGAAACTTTTCATCACAAATTCTGTTTTACCTCTTTACGGAGTTAAAACAGAATTTGCGATAGGATAAGTTATAAGATTAGAATAAGATTAGACTAGATTTAGATTTTAGAATCAGATTAGATTAATAAGATTAAAATAAGTAATATAAAATTTAAAGTATAGAAAGAGTGAGTTCAGACAAACCTAAAGTAAGCCATGAAAATTCAACTACTGAAAAAAAAAATTGAAAATATCAAAATGCTGACAAATCGTTGGAAGAGAAGTTTTCCGTTTCGTAATCCTAAGTTACCTCTCATAATTTGTTTTCGTTTTGATACTTTGAAAATTTCTTTTCAGTCTTTGAAAATTCATGGTTTGTCTGAACTATTTTTTTCTATACTTTAAATTTTAATTTACCTATGGGGGTAAAAGAGAATTTGCAATGGAATTTTTCCACCATGGTATAGCGGTCTCTTAATTTCAATTCTTGTGTTCTTTGCCACAATTTGAAAAAAAAAATTAAGTATATGATTATAAAATTTGTTTTCCCAAAGATATTTCAAAGCTACACACATTTTTTTATATAATGAACTATCATTTTTGATTATTTAATTTAATACTTGCTATTAAACTGGAATTGCAAAGTATACACGAATTGCAAGGTATACACATTTTTAAAACGCATTAAACTATGTAATTTATATGACGAGATAAAAAGTTCATGCGAAATGAGTCAAATAGTTTCTGAGTATTAAATTTTAAAAGATTGTATTTTTTAAATTTTTATTTCTCTGGTTCATTCTAGTATTTTATTTTGCAGTTAAAATAATGTAGTTTATAAATAATATTTAAAATAATGCCATAATTAGTAATAGTCATAGTTTAGTCATTAGTAATATAGTCATAGTTAATTTGAACATCGCAGCAAATTCAAAATTTTCCGACAACAGAGAATTGTTAAATCGAAATACAATAGATAATTTTATACTAACTTTAAAAAATATACTTACATGACGACAATAATAATTTGTTAAATCAGATTTATTTATATCAAAGTAGAAATACTTCACCTATTAGAAAATTCATGAATAAGTATAGAAGAGCATCAAAATGTATTTTCACCAACATTTATATTAATTATTCTCGAATACATTTAAGGTTACGTTTCTAGAAAATTAGTAACTCATCAATCTTAAAGTGAAACTTTCATTTTATCTCTCGTTTTTTTAAAAAGTACCTTGTTTATTTATCGTGCATCTTATGTTCCATTAACATAGCATAACCTTTGTTAACACCCAAAAACTTGTTGGAAATACCAAAAAAAAATTATAATAACCAGTACTAGTTTTCCTAAATGAGCCTGACCTTACATAACCATATGAATTAAAATCATTTATTGTTAAGGTATTTTGACCTTAAATAATAAGTATACAACAACATAAAGAGTACCGGCTTTATTAACTATGCAAATAACTTTGATTGAACAAAGTAATAAAGAAAAAAAAGTATTTGCCTCCTCTTAAAGAAGTTGAAGTTAGCTTAATATGAATTGGTACGCCAGAATACAAAAGCGTACCTTTGTTCTACGGAAACTGAGTTTAATTTAGTATGAAATGTTCTGTTATAGAGAAAAAAATTATGTAGCAACCATTCTCTTCCCTATTGTAGCAAACACTGGATTTTAATGGCCGTAATTTTTTATTAATATTTAAATGACGTTTTAACTTTAAAACACGTTATTATTTTAGAATAAAAAAATAATTATATAATTTTTGGAATATCACAGACAAACCTCTGGAATTGAATTAGAATACCCTACTTCCATTCCGCAAAAACGTTGCCAGTTTTATTTTTTTATGCTTTAACCACATATAGAAAGCTTTACCTAAAAAAAATTTTAGGTCTTGATAGGTTATTATTATGTTTTGTAAGTACAATTCTACATATCTTAAAAGAAAACTTTACATAATTCATAAGACATTATTATATGTATATTCTTAAATTTGTATGATTATATACACAGAATTTATGAAAAAAGTGAAAATTGTTTGAATTCTACTTACTGATAGATTGCTTATTTCTCCTATAGACCTTTTGTTATTCTCTCTTAAAAATAAACCCTTTGAGTTCCTGTAAATGTAAACGTACGTTAAAGATGATAAAACTAAAATACATCAGATTTTATTTATAAAAAATAAGTGAAAAATAATAGAATAGCCTTAAATGTTTAAGTAATTATGAACCAATTATTTGACTCACATTTCAGCTTGAAATTTTAAAATAATAGAAATATTTTATTTAATAACAATGAGCAATGTAACTAGATAACAAATAATCCGATTATTAAAATGCAATTTATGATGTTCTCAAGACAATTCCTTTTTTATTTTATTACCACGTTTATATAAACTTGCCTTCGTGTATGTCTGTCCGGGTGGAATTTTGTAATCGATTTTAAACTAACTTCCCGACTAGCTACAAACTTCAAATTTGGTTCACAGTTCAGAATTGGATGACAATGAAAATGAAGAGAAAAAAGACATGCAAAGTAAAATAAAATTAAAATTTAAAAAAAAAATTTTTTTTTTCGAGACTGTCTTTTGTTGTCGATTCCATTATTTCAAATTATTACGTGTCAGGTGAAAATATTTTTGTTGTCGGAGTATTTTTATTGGCAGAAAAATCACGTGGTAGGATTCAGTTTTTCCTCATTCATTTCCAGATTGTTTTGGTTGTCATCAGCATAAAACTAATGAAAGTCGTAAAGGTATTGTTTTTCTATAAAGATTTTTGTATCCCTAATTTAAAATAAAAGTTCTATTACTTTAGTAGTGGTCTTGTAGTAGTCTTGACTACTCTTGACTAAGAAAAATAATCTAAATAAAAATATATATTTTTAAAAACCACGTTTTTTGTAGTGAAGAATAATAATTAAAAAATAATAATTTTTTAAAAATATAAAATAAAAATTAAAAAAATCATAGTTTAAAATAAAAAAATTCAAAATAAAAAGTAATATTTTTAAAAACCACGTTTTAGTAGTGGAGAATAATAATTAAGAAAAAAATTGAAAAACGAAAAACGTGGGGCGCATGAAATACATAACAGTACATATACACATACATATACACATTTTCTTACTCATACACATGCACAGCCACATATACATCCACATACATATGCATATACAAAAGCATATTCCACATCCACATTCAGATACAATTACAATTACTGATATACATACACATATTCTCAAGAGCACACATACACACACTAATATAACATTACTGTTATGTATTTCATGCGCCCCACGTTTTTCGTTTTTCAATTTTTTTCTTAATTATTATTCTCCACTACTAAAACGTGGTTTTTAAAAATATTACTTTTTATTTTGAATTTTTTTCTTTTTCTTAATTTGGCACAATTGTGTATTAAGTGATTTATATTCTAGACATTCAGGATAAAAGCACTATGTTAAAAGCCCAATTAAAAAAAAATCTTTATGCTAACAGACAGGTGGGCGATAGTATACTGGCCTGTAGGTTAATAGTTTTTTAAATTATCATAACTTTTGCTCTAATTGAGATTAAAACATAATTCAAATTCTTTTGGAGAGATAAAAGTGAGTTATATTATTTTATTCAAACATGTAAAGTTAGTATATGAAAATTGAACTATAAAAGGTAGTCAGCTATATTTAAAGCTTTAAACTTTTTTCAGCTTTATTGAAAGCTCTAGATTTTTTTTAGCTTTTTTGTTTTCTTAATATATCTATATGAAATTTATTTTATATGCCTTAATTATAGTGCAATGGGGGGATATGCCCTTTTGGCGAAAAATATGCAACTTATGCTTATTCATCTACGTTAAGTTTTACAGATAAAAATAAAAAGATTTATAAATTTAAACAAAATTTAAACTTCTTTAATTTAATAAAATTTTACTCTTGTACTATTTTGTGTTAATCAAAAATCGTTTAGAGAAAAAAAAACTTTCCAAAATAAAAATGTTAAAAACCATTTACATTAAAAACTTCGAAGTTCAAAATAAAAAATAAAATAAATTAATCATAAAAGAAAATAAAAAAAGCCTAATTTTTAAAAAATTCAATCATTTTCGTAGGCGCGAATTCTACGTAATGATATAAACGTATTTGTGAAAAAATATAAAAGCAAAATTATCATATAAGCATTTTTAATATAAATAAAACTAGTGAATCTGTTCGAATATTCTTTTCACCCACATAATCGCATGTTTTTAACCAAAACAAAGACAAATCTAGGCAAATTAGTATATAACTAGGACTTCCTAACCCCCGAGTCGCAATTACTTTCGCAATTCGAGTTCAGTTTGCTAGCTCACTGAATATTTATGCATTTTTGTCACGCTTTCTATGCATGTACACTCTAAAAAATTCCTGAAAAAATTACGGTTTAAGGGAGTCTACGGATGCTGACCTCAGGCTGCCAGAAATACAAAACTAAAATTAACCGTATAAATAATTTTTATGCCACGCTAAGTTATCAATGAACAATCTTTATCACATTTACAACCAAACAGCGTGGCAATAAAATCATATTTTATTGTTAATTTTTACCAAAAATCATTACCAAATCACTTCGGTGAAAATAATCGTGCCTTCTGGTGTTGTTACAGAGCCAGAAACACGATAAACGTTACCATATTCTGGTAGTTTTAACCGTAATGTTTTTCTAATTTAACCATAATAAATTTCAAACAGACTGAAGAACAACGTATTTTTAGCTGATCCCCGTAGATAAAACTAATTTTTTTCAGCATTAATTGTTATGTATCAATAAAACTAAAATAAGCTCCTAATTATTATGCTACACACATAAATTAACAGTAATAATTAAAAGAATAGAATTAATAAATTTTTTAAATATATTATAACAGATTAATAAATTCATAAGCATATCTAAAACATAGAAAAGTTTCTTTGTTTATACGAGCTGCTTCGCTTTGAACTTAGAATTTCTACTCAACTGATAGCTCAATCAGTCGGTGCAAGCTTCAGAAAAGAAATTGCGTCAGATTTCTGACAATATACGCACCAATGTTTCAAGTAATATGAATTTGCATTCACACAAAAAAAGATGCAATTCACCTTTCCTCTTTGTGTACTAAATTTAGTGAATAAATGTACAAAAAGTGACTATAAATTTATATAAAATTTAAACGTTACGCTAGTTTGAAAAAAAAAAACCTTGAAATATTTAATATCTCATACACGTCAGGAGATGGAGAGAAGGGGGTGGGGGGGGGTATAAAATGAAGAAAGACAAAGAAGGCGGAAAACCATTTTAATTAAAAACCTGGAAGAGTCTCCCATTTGAAAAAGGATGAAGTAAAGAGAAACTGCCAGAATTCCAAAAATGCGGGCTTTTCCTCCCATCTTAAAAGGAATTCCCCTTCTGTATGAAGGACGTCGGGTTGCAAAAGAAATATTACTTAATAACAAAAGAAGTGGATGACGGGGCATCTTTTCCATCTTTCAACTCGATTTTCTCCATTATTTTCCGGATAAAAAATTAGGAGAAGGATAGAAAATTAGGAAGGTCAAGGAGACGACTTGTTGCAGGGAACTCAGGAAGAAAAAAAAAGGAATACTTGATTTGAGTGGGGGGATATGATGAAATAGTTCGGAAATATAGCCAAAATGTATTGGAAATAATTGTTATTGATTTAAAAGTTTTAGAACCAGTAAAATTTCAATGCACCAATTTATAAATGTAACGCTATTAATTGTAAACAGTTTTGAGACAAATGGAATGTAAACTTATCTTTTTAAAATATTCTAAGAATTAAATTTGCAAAATATTATACTTGTAAATGCAAATCATTAAACAAAGAATTTAATTTTTTTCTCTCCCGGTAATTCTGACATGAAGCATTGCTTTACACAAAGATATGTATTGGAGACTTTTTTTTTCTTTCAAAAAACGTTGTAGTTTAAATAGATGTCCCCGTATATATAATTTCAATGGGAAACCCATTTTTCATAAAAAGTAATTCAAAATATTTTACACTCTTTTGTGAATTTATACACAGTAAAAAAATTTAGTATATCCTAATACCGAAAATTGTGGCAACTACTTTATATCGAAAAATGGGAAAAGAAACAACAAGGATAGTTATTGGTGTAGTAAACACCACAAATGTTCTATTATACTTCGATTGTTGTTTCTAATGACACTTGCATAAGACAAGCTCACGAACCATTGACCTTTTACGAATTAAGCCAGGGAGAAGTGTGTTTCATTTGACAGGAGAAATTGGCAAAGGTGAAAGTACAACTGAGCTTAGAACTCGGATAATGGCAGCACCACTAATTCGTGAGACCACTTACTCAATTTTGACATAGATCTCAAGGGGAAGGAAATTTTCTCCTGATCCTTGTACATATGGTGTTGATCAGCGACCCACCACAGTCGAGGAGCAAACCCCAGCCCCGATTCTCGAACCACTGAGCTACCAGGGCCCATTACATTTCTTTTGGAATTACCACCATTGTCGGTGTTTAGATAATTCACGTAAAAGTCAGTAAAGCTATTTTGATGATACAAGAACTGTTAATTCAGAATACATACACTAAACGAATTTCAAAATAAAATTAGTTAATCAACCCTACATACATCACAGTCAGAACATTAAAACAAATACGAATTAGGCTTAATATAACCAAAGCGGATAGAAACTAAATATTATAAAATTATTTAATATAATTGATAGATTTATATAAATCTACTTATAAGAATGTAACTATCGTTTTTATAGAACGAAAAACAAACATGCTTTCTGTGACAGTGAATTTCTGTTTCTGCGGAATGTTAGGTAGCGCACGAGACGGCAATAAACTTACACCTTCTCGAGTTCGATAGTAAACAATGTACCGTTGAAATTTCACGATATGGAAACGTAGCAAAAATTTTGCTTTTGAAGGAAAACACAATTCATGAATAGTGTAAATGCAGCTGAGCTTTTTGTAAGCATTGACCTTTCTTTGTGTTTAGATTCAAATACACTTTTCAAAGTGCATATAAACACACTATTGAGTATTACATTGAAATAAAGTATTCATTTACATCAACTTTGACTACTAAGTTTGG